AGGTTAAATGAAATAATATTTTCAACGATACATTTCAACTCCTGTTGGTATTGTTACTCAAACAGTAATAAAAGTTTTCGGACATTTAACGGCATATTATTACCAAGAAGCTAATGTAAGCTCGTTGCATCGGGGTAAGTTTATTAAGCATGTTCATACATGCCAGATACCCCAAAAATGTACCAATATCATTTTCACATAGTCCTCAAGATGAAAGTAATCTCTTCAGCTCCAGCAATCTAAGCAGCTATAAGAATTTTAGAGAATTATGAATGACAAAAAAATTCATGTGTTTCAAGAGGAAACTTAAAATAAGTACTAAAAACTACTTGCAAGGAAATTTGAAATAGTTATTTGTATTACAAGTGGGCTAGAAACATAATTACAGTACGAATGTGGAGAATAGCACGACGAGGTCGTAGACCGAGTCGTGTAATCACACGAGTACTGTAATTATGCTCTAGCCCACGTGTGATATACAGCATTTTATCTACGACTGCTAAAAATTACTAAAAAATCAATTTCTTTAAAAAAGTCTATTTGACATTTATAAAAATATTTTGAAATGATTGTTGACAATTTTGAATTGTCAGTTTCAACAACATGTTTACTCATCTGGAATAAGTGTTTTGAAATGTAAAAACATAACAATTAATGTTTATAATAAATAGTATTGTTTCTCTGTAAGTAGATAGCACTTTTTCTTTTGTATTGTTGCTCGTTTCAATAAATTAAGTCTGTTCTGATTAGGCTAAAAATGCGTTACGTAATGAAACCAGTGCGGTAATGAACTTCATTACGTAACTCAAATCACCTCAAATGAGTGCGGTAATGATGACTTATCCAAGCAGTCGTAGATAAATATAATTAAAATGTTCTTGTTTTTATTATACACACCTTTTTATGAAAAACATCACTTGTCATTTTTACTTGTCTATAAAAAAATAAATAAACGATATATTAATTCAGTATTATTAATTGATAGGTGGTAAACGCTAACAATTGAGCATTAATTACCCTAAAACCACAATTACCCAACAACGAGAGACCTGCGGTTTGCCTAAAATAGCGAATACGTATTATCCTTGATAGAACAATTTCTCACAGCATATAACAATGTGGGTTAGGTGATGCAGACAATGGTTCCTTACTGTTTAATAATAATGGTATTTGTGTTGGTGTCCCACTAAAGGGTGTGTTAATTAAACAACTATCTAATTTAATTGAATATTTAATTTTAATAAAAGGGTTTACATTAAATTAACTGTAAAAAAATGTAAAATGTAAAAATTTCAATTTGACATTCTTATGTTGTATATAAACGTATTAAATGACGAATGGTAGAATTCGGAAAATATCTACCCTTGAAAAGAAATGATTGACGTCGAAGAATATCGAAACAAAATCGAATGTGGCAACCAACAAATGTAATATATGTCCCTATATCCTCAAATAATAAATTCAAAGCAACAGGGGTCGAAAACGGAAATGGATTTTATATTTCTTTGAATATGGTGAAAATCCTTTCACATATATTCATTCCATTTCATTAATTTAATCGAAAAATTTGAGTATAAATATATGTTTCACCATTTTTAAACGTTTAAAAATATGGTATTAAGGAAGGGTCTTAACGAATTGTCTTAATACCTTACCATCCCAAAGTTTAAACGTCCGATGATATTAATTAAACTTTATAATTACCAGCAAAAACTCTTTCACGGAGCTTACAAGGTACGTGGGAATATTCCCACAATGGGATTTCCGGCTATAAAATTTCCACCGTCGAAATTTGATGGTCCAGCACTGTTCAAAAGTAATTTCATCGATGTTTCTGCAAAACTTCGAGCCATGTTTGAACTAACACCTTAGTTCATCAAGCACGGTCGGAAAGGTTTAACTTTCTATATAGACACTGTCGAGTAACCTAGTTCCTGTCGCCTATCAAATGCAAACTGCGCCAGACTTATGCTCGGTTGATTTCCAACCGGAAATGGCCCGGTTTCCAGCGGAAATTGAGTTTAATCTTTGAAGGCGTGTGGTGAAGGAGATATATAAGACGTAATTGAAATATATTCCTGTGCGAAAAACACTTTGAAAGGAAAAGCTATTTGAATTAATATCATAATACGAAAAGTCGTTTTTCTTTTTTTCCCTTTTTTTATCTACATAAAAAAGAAATAAGATACAATCCAAGACGGTATCTAAAGCTATACATAACCAAAGTGCTATCCAACGCCGTAAAAGTTTTAAAAGTAATTCGATTCGAATTGCGTTGAAAAGTACGACGTAAATTTTCTAGATAAAATCATTTCAAACAAGGCATCAATTTCTACACTTTACATTTCATTAAAATGACTTTTATTTTTACCTTTATTACAACACTTAATTTGATGACAATCTTAAGCAAATTTCTCGACAAACGAAGATGCTGAAATTTAATTGTTTTTTTAAATTAAAACTCGTCCCCTGAAGCAATTTCGGAATATAAACAATAACGAGGTTAAAATGGTAATTATCTCTGAATTATACACCCGAAGTCACAAAGCTGTGTCTGTGTGGTCAAACAGGTAGATAGTCACGACTCATGATGTATACAGAAGGACTCTCCATCCTTGCATGTCAGAACCACACACATACTCGCCAGTTCACCGCATTCAAGCATCTATCTAGTTTTAATGGAATCTCCAAATTTAATAGGTATCAACACAAGAATGACAGTTCGATAAATCGACACACCAGGAAACAAGCGCTTTTGCAAATTCAATTACATCTTGTATAACGTATAAAAAATAAAATAATTTTCCAGTTGCAAATTTGCGCAATTAAATTCAACCCAAAATCGTACTGCAATTCCCGGCAGGGATTACTGACAAGATCTCGGTCTTGTTTTAACACTAATAAATTAGACCCCCGCAGACAAGGGACGAGCAGTTTCCAGAAATTGAATTTTGTAACACAAGAAGTATTATTAAGGTCACCGTTGATTTTAAACAGTCTCTAAAGATTTATTTTAATATTTTCTTATTGATGAATACACATTTATATCGTCAATTTATTAAAAAAACAGTGTTAAATAAAATTTCGTTTATCCCCAGGAAATTAAGGCAATGTCTTTTGCACGATATCGATCCACCTAAATGAAATAAAATTTTACCCTTCTTTAAATTCAGTACGCATTTCAAGGTCTTTAATTAAATTACCGTCTTGACACGAATGCGAACCCATTTAAATGCAACATCCCAATTCGATCCTATTTAGGTTCACATAGGTTTTACTATAGAAACTTCATTTCAAACCGTACAACCACGATTTACATTGTGATCGAAATAAAAAGATTTTATTTTCTTTTTTATTCTTATTTACTCAATTAATTTATTTGTTGTGGTTAATAATTACATCAACATCAATAATGAAGTCCCGAATGATATAAAATAGACCAAAAAAGTTCTTGTAGGTAGTCTGCCAGTACAGCGATGGCTTGCTGGCTTTCAAAGAATGGTAAGAAAACCGTCAAGGATATTAAAAAAATTATTAAATTTGTCTGCACATCAACCATTTTTATAATATTGGACTTCATATTTAGATTGATATCCTTATAATCTAATAGTACCTTTTAATATTGTCTGTTGCTTTATGATCAATCAAGAAAGTACTAGTACTAGTACTAGAAAGTAGTAGTAGTAGAAAGTATAACTGAGTGAAGCATCCAAATGGCATTCAAAATATATTTGATGTGATGCACAAGATGTCTTCTAGGCTACCAGAAAAACTGAATTTGGACTCTACTCTGCATAAAGAACTTATATTTACGCTGATGACACACAACTATTTATATATGTTACATTTATTAGTGTTTGAACCAGGAATTAATGTAATCCTTCGCTGAGAATTTCTTTATATTGTAAAGTTATATAACTTTACAACTTCTTACTATATTAGGATTTTAGCAGGACTTGTGTAGCTCAGAAGAAAACAAGGAATTATGGTGTTATTTTAGACGATGTTAAATTAATGTCACAAAAATTACAGAGTTCATCAAAAACTATACATTATCATAAATATGTTTTTGAATAGAATGAAAAGAATGTACTTTGCCAATATCTAGTTTCTAACTGTAACTTTTGTCTGATTATTGTGGAACTTTTTTCAATCATGCTTATGAAAGAAATGTTGGTATCATACTCTCTTTCCCGGTCCTTCTTTTCTTTCCGATCGCTTTGTTCCTATTCCAGAAGCTCATACAGCTGCTCGCTCAAATAATTAACCACTAAATGATTATCTTGATCGGCGGGATTTTCCTTCATATTATATTGTAATTAATTCTAAACTATTATATAAAGACCAGAACACAACGAACATTTTTTATTAGCAAACTTTTCTGTAAGTTCATTTGTAAACCGGGATGAATTAAATTTATTTGTATTTTATGTGGTGGGCAGAAGATTATGAAACTTTTGTATAAGATTAGTACATTTTTTAATGCTTAATACGAGTGTTATCTCCTACTACATCGAATGCAGCGAAGTTACACCAGGCTATTATAACGTACGAGTATATTGCATGCATTGTCGTGTCACGAAAACACGATTAGCTGTAGCTTTAGTTTATAACACGGGTAAACGATCTTTTAATAGGATTAACTTAGTATATAACAATTGTATAAAAGTACAAAATAAGAAATAGTTTTCATCGAAAATAAAACAATTAAAATTCTTTTGTGTTCTCAACTTTTGAAAATAAATATCGCCTGTGTTGTATAAATTTACGACTACCTAAACCTTAACAGGATCCCGGGAAAGTCCTATGGATTTCGACCAACTACCGGCTTTTAAAGTCACAGTAGGAAAGGCAACTCGCCTCTAAGCACTTCCATTCGCCGTTAAATCCACATTACGATGCCGCCGCAATTGCTGAAAACAAACTAAAGCAGCGCTCTTGAATTAGTTCCAGCCGAGAAGTTTAATGAAAATGGTTTGGGAATAAAAAAAACAATCCTATAGGTATTTAATTCTCCAGACCAAAATCTTTTTATTCCACCACAACAAAGTTACATACTTTTACCTTCTACAAACCATGAGAACGTAAGAATGCTAAAATTTCATCTGTGCCCGTGTTTACTAATATATTTTCGACGACTTCATCGCCAACAGAAATCATAGCAGAAATTACTCCAGTTAATTGGTTATTATAAGTACATGGACCACCAGAATCTCCCTATAAATCAAAACCATTATTTTTTTTCAAATTTAATTATTTAACATACCGGTCGAACACTGGTTTGTTCAGCATTAGTAATCAATTTATTCCCTTCATAACGTTTAGTTAAAAAGTAAGATCGTTGCAATACGTCAGCTCCTTGTCCTGTTTCAGTACCCCCGTAACCAAAACATGTCACGTAATCATTTAAAGGTGCTGGACTTAATGCATAAGATATCGGTTCAACCGTTTCCGTTACTCTTACATCTCCATCCAAATAAATAACCGCAATATCATAGTTAAGTCCGCTTGTTTCAGTTTCACTGGGATGCATATGAACTGCTGTCGCACGGTACTGGTCTGCCGAGCCATTATCTATTTCAGCTCTAGAATTCATACCAACGGAAATAACAAGATTTTCAGCTCTGCACTCACGCACACAATGCGCAGCTGTTATTAAACGATTTGTTGTTACCAGTGTTGCCCCACAAAGAATTCCACCACAATTGAAAAATGCATAAAATTTCGCCCCTCGTATATCCGTTGCGTGACCATTACTGATTCTTTCATTATATCCACGTAATGATGCTAAATTAATTAAATTAATTTCTATATAAATTCTTGCTGGTCATCTTACCTCCAAAAGCAACAGTACTAAGACCAAGAAGGATTAATAATTTGATCATAATGAATTGTTTATGAACTAAACCACAATAAGCGTTTGGTTTTATATTGTTGATTTCGAAATTTATTTCGTTAGATTAGATATGATTCTAAAGGGGATACTACTTAAGATACTTAAGTTATAATTAAAAAATATTTATTTCGATAGGATAAATATCAAGTAAAGTAGATCTTAAACCAGATATATAAAAAATACAAGTATCTTTATATCAAACGTTGAGATATAAAAGCGGATCAATAAAACACTTTCAAAGCTAAATTTAAACTAATTTCATTGTTAATAAATCCTAATTACTAAGTTGAAACATTCATAAAATCCAAGAAGCTGGATTCGAGGATCTTATAAATGCATGGCCAAAATCTGCTGTCATCACCACTTCCTTCAGCACAGGGGTTCGTTTTCAAGGCAGGTATTTCTCACCGGAAAATCTATTGTTCTCCGTTTTAATTGAATTTACGTCACCCAGGTGGGGTTAAAAAAATTAAATCCCTTGAGTAACGATTTTATTTAGTTAAAAGCGGACACAACGTTTTTTTAAGTTTAATTGTAGAATATTCTAGTATAAATAAGAACAAGTAAATAATTTATAACTTAATGCTCCAAGTCTTGATTTAGATTTCAGGTAATGATATAGCTATTCCACCTACACTGTAAGTTTTAAGTACACATTTGTGATTTAATACTTGGGTGAGTATAAATTTTACCAAGAAATGTTTTAACGATCTTTTCAATCATAATAATTTATTAGATGTAATTGTTGATTTCCTAGAAATTCTTGCATTCGACAATGATTTTAATCAAAATTATGTATAATTGTACAATTTATAAACATGCAATTTATATACAAACAAAATATTAACGCAATTTAGAACTCCACGATGGTTATAATTGAATGTTTGAAGTGCAAATTCGCGTTTCATGTTTTGTTAACATTGGCTTTCTGTAGTTGCATTATAAGTTCTACAATATTTATTGAGGTAAATGTTTCGGCGACTATAATATAACTTCGAGGTAAAATTGCTTTCGCGAAATGACACGTCGCGTTTGTGAAATAACCGACCTAGCAATACATACGTAAAATATGTTTCACACGAGTTTGATTTTGGAATTTTCTGGAGTCTACGAAATTTAAACCATCTCGCGGAGATTTATAAAGAACGTGACATCTTTCGCGACGCGTGCTATTTTTATGTCAGTGGTAAGTGGATGCGCTAAAACGAGTAAGCTTCTTTTACTGCATCTGTTGCTTTTAAAACTACCAGGTTGCATGCAACGAAGATTAATCGAAATATTTTGCTTTATAATAACATTTTATTATAATATAATTAGAGAATTTTAATCAAGCACAAACTATGTAGAAAATGCTAAACGTCGCCTATAAGTTATCATAACGTTGTTATAAAGCTTGATAAAGCTGCAATTTCCCGGTGGACATCTGCAAAACTCGTTTATAGAGCTGACACGTCTTTAACAACGTTAATATTAGCGTAATCTGCACCCACGTCATGTATGTATAATCTCATATTTGCGACATTATGCTGTTGGGCACAATTTATATTCGTAATAAACGACCACCAACATTTAACAGCTTCGTTCCTATACACTGACAGGCAAATATAGGTGTGGTAAGTGTACGCATTAAATTTATTGACACGTACCACTAATTTCCTACGGTTTATAACGCGTAAACTTTTCTTCGCCTACGTATAAAGTTCATAAAACCAATTTCCACTTTTTACACCCATTAATTAGAACTTTGAACTTCGTACACCAGCCATCTATCACCCACTAATAGTCGAATTGTGTGATTTATGACCATTACCTGTCTCAGGAGAAACATATCGTTATGCAAAACCCATTTTTCTTTTTTTTTAGTCCATAAAGTTTGTAAAATAATGTTATTGGGAAGATTATTAAATTTGATTAATATTCGAAAATCCCTTTATGATTATTTTAAATAGAAATCTAATGGAGCTTTAAAGCTCTTTAAGATTGTCTCCTTCGTTAGAAAACAATAGAAAATGAGGGTTTGATCTTAAGCTGCCAAACGGTAACTCACATCCTTTGTACTTTAAAGACAATAGAACTTCAGAAATCTCATTCGAAAGGATGAGTTGTTTTGTTAATACACCTTTAATAAAGTATGGGTCCATTAAATACTAATCTAAATTAAATAATCTATTCAACATATTGATTTATTCGATTATTATTTTTTATTGTTTTTATTACCAAGGATTATTTAAAGTAGCTATTTACGTAAAGCTGGCAAAAACAAACTATAACGACTTCAAATTTCATAACTTCATTTAATCTACAAATTTTGTCTCTTTATTTCACTGAGCAATTCATTCCTGTTCGTTAGAATCGTTCCAGTAATGTGGAATTCCAGTTTGGCTAATTCTTGAGACATAACTGTGTATGCCTAAAATATATAAAATAAACGCCTAGAATTTTGATTTTTTTTCCTCACCCCAATTTTGTTATATTAACTTTGCGCATAACCTCTTCTATTTATTTCTGCTATTTGTCTCATACATGAAAAACAGTTTAAACTAAAGAATTTTAAGTTCTCTCTGTGACGTTTTTAAATGCATTGTGCCATCAGGTGTTGTGGTCAAAATCTCAGATTAAGAAAGGTCTAGGTTCAAAACTTAGCTTTGTCGAGGAAATCGGATAGGAAATGGCCACATCGAAGGAATAAAAAGCGCCATTGTTACGCCACTTTTCGACAGTGGTAACTTTTCTGAAAACTCTTCAAGTCATAGCTTTTGCAACCCGTATGCGTGTTGAATATCGGAATTAAACCAGCTTTTACGGTTTTAATTTACAAGAACTTAAACTTGTAGAGCAAAGTTTACACAGTCCAACTGATACAAAAATTAAACCCAGCTGATTCTGGACAATGTAGTGCATTCGTTATCCGAGTATTAGAAATGCCCAAGCTAAAGCTGTGGTTTTTGGGGGTTTGAAAATCATAGAAAATAGTGCCAAAAAAGGTAGTGTCAGCTCGGTATTGCGGACTTCGCAACATTTCACACAAATAATCAATCGTGATATTGCACCCAAAATTTTCTGAAAATATGGTTTGGAAACTACAGTTGGTCACTAAAATCATAGGAGTTGAGAACGTTTTCTTTGCAATCTCTGGCAATCCTTGGAAGCCTACTCCTTTCCGTTTGTGAAACGTGCTAATTCCAGAGTCTACTGCGTACTTACATCTAGCTTACCACATTTTATGTTTTACATTATTCCTGAATTTCCTTGCTTCTTATTTGATTCCACAGTGTGTTTCCAGTGACTGTTTTCAAAATCACCATCTCGTTGGTACCCACCATCTTAGTTGCTTTACAATGTGGCCGTTCACTTCTAGTTTATATCTGCGCGGTTCTTATTTTACATCTGTCTGTATTCCAAAACCCTATCATACCCATTGTAGTGCATCCTCTGTGTCTGCAATCGATGTTGCGTCGACCGCGTGTCACATAATTACCATCTTGTATTTACCTTACTCTTGTTATATGATCCCGTCCATTAAGATGTTGAATAGAAAAGCTGTCACCCCGCTTCCTCTCCCTGCAACTCATTGGACATATTGCCAGGACCTGGTGACTTGCCGTTTTTGAGTTTCATCTGCGTCGTCACGACATTCGTTGTGAATTATTCTATTTCCTCAACTTAGGTTGTCATAAAAATTAAATTGATGATATGAGTAATTCCCTTGCTGAGGGTCGTAAGGGTATATTTTGAAATAAATATCACAAACAGAAATATTATAAACAATTATATTGCAGTACCTAAGGTTTGAGCCATCTATTAAGTGAAATAATAATACACATTTATCAACTACAAAGGTTTCTGCTAAACCCACCAAATTAGGAAAGAAAAAGCAAATGTTGTGAGTAAGCAAATCCGGATTAAAACTCCAACGCCGATGAGATGTCGAAATGATCAAATTCTGATTACAACTAAAATACAAAGACAAAGTTTAATAATGGCAAATAATAATACTTAATAATTTTTGGACTGTTAGTGCCTCAGATGTTATATTCATCAGTTAGCCTTAAAACTTATTGAAAACAAGTTTGAACTACACCTAAAGATATTACTGCAGAAAGATTGGTACTAAGCGTAGTCAAAGTAAGAATAGTAAATGGATTAAGTATAGACTAAGCTTTGTGAACATGAGGATATTCGAATCATCGAAAGTACAAATGGTTGAATTAAATCATTTAAAATTGTTTTCATAACTTTTATTTTTCCACAACATGTATTAATAAATAAAACAAAATAATATAGGCCTCTACAAATAATTTAACATAAGATAAAAAAATGAAATAACAAATCACATTACTAGACATAAACGTAACATATTAAAAAACAAACAAAACCACTTAATTACTTAATGATATTATCTTATAAATTATAATAATACTATATTAGTTCATAAATTTGTAACTTACTGATATCAATAGATCCTTATTAACTAATGGAAAACGTCGTATGGATTACCAAAGATTGAGTCGTTCTTTTTCTATTTATCCTTTCAAATTTAAAAGTGTTGATTTTAAAATTTCAAATTTCTCAGTTGGCGTTAAAAAAGATAACTCTCAATCGTTGTTTAACGAGTACAATTCTGTTTCAAACATCGGTTTTTAATTATTACCACTACATCATTAAAACTAATACATCACGGTAAAGTAAAATTCTAAGATATGTATCAAGCTTACAAATTATATTGCACTACATCTACAAAAGGTACATAAGTAACGAATTGCAAAAACGTTGTAAGTTACAAAACTAGAAACACTCTTTTTAAAAAATGAACAATTTTCTTGTAATTCATTTTTAATGTTTTTTTTTATTTAAGCGAATTATCGCACATTTACCACTTTGATTTTGTTTTATTTTTCCATTAACATCTATGCGTATGGACGAATTTAATATCTGACGAATAGTTATTCATTTTCAAACGACGTTGTTCCCTCGAAAAAAAACTACCAATAATAATATGTGGTTATTTTTAAATAAATTTACTGCGGTTTTGATATCACTAACCTTTTGAATGGTTACATTTTTTATTATGGTAATGCAACGAATATTTTAAAATATTTAATTATAGCTTAAAGTAGTTTTTCTTTAAATACTGTTACCATACCTTTTAAAGTACCGTTATTACAAGGTGATTATGAATTACAAGTATAAACGCTGCAATTTTACTTGCGATGATAATGCATAAATTTAGGGATGTTTATGAATTTTCAAAAAAAAACTCCATATTCATAACTGCTTTAATTTCTTGAATTAGCTTTTGTACCTGTAATTTAGAATCACTCATTATTTTTTCGTAATTGCTTTATGTAATAATATGATTAAAAATAGAATGTTTTGAAATTTGGCAATTATCATACTAAAATTTGAGCAAAACCCAATTTTTAAAGTTGCTTAGAAATATACATTAAGAATACATTTTTAAAAGATATTTAAAGGCTACCAATAAATATCCGCACAACTAATAGCGTAAAAATAATGTTGTAAATATATCAGATTTAACATTGTTACAAAACTATATGCATTTTACTCTCACGTTCATTTTTTTACAAGCTCAGAAAAACTGACTCTACAAATTTAGTTTTATGTCAAATTTAGAAAGAAGGAAGGAATCGATTTACGTTCACGTTGCTCATTGGAAAATTCTAAAAATTACTTAAAAATGAGATACTAAAACGTTTCATTTACATTTTCTTTTATTAAAATTTTGGAGTCTACGTTTGAATACTTCTAAAACATGTTTTCGATATAATTGACTCTAGGCTCGCTTATTTTGTTTGTCTGTTTACAAATTCTACAGTTACATAGAAAATTACCAAACCTAGACTACCATCTACGATATATACGACGATGGTGTGACTATTTCTTTTGGGTCCTGTAAAAGTTACTTTGGCACAAGTTATCTAGACGGACTACTAATTAAATTACTTTTGACAAATTCATAGCATTTTCAGTTTCCATATAGATATGGGTCGCTGAAATACTGTTACCTGGCCATGTTCTTTTCCACCGAAAATGAACACGTAAAACGGTACGCTTATGTCATTATTTAAAGTGTTTTCTACTGGGGATTTTAAATCTTCACTTTTTACTTTTGTTCTTTCTGCTCTGCTTGCGCTACTCGCTCTGCACTTTCCACCTTTTAAACGTAAGCTTCTACTTTCGGCAGAAAACGATTTTTGCAAGCGATTTTTACTAACGCTTCTATAAATAACTTTCGTGCTTTTAGTTATTCCACCGTTGTATTCTTGAAGTTCCACGACGTCTTCTGTTTCTGAAAGATGTTGACTGCCATCATCTTCGGATAATTTTTTAATACTGTATTGGGATTTTTCCTTCTCACGGTTGTTTTTAATATCTGGACCTAAATAGTTAGGATTACTAAAACCAAAGGAATTTTCTGAATTTATAGTGCTTCTTTTTGATTTATCATCGAGTGTATTATTCGTCTTCATGCTGTAATTACTCGCTGAAGATAATCTATTAACGGTTTCTAAACTGTAATAATCCGATGTAGATGATACACTTTCATCAAACGTTTCAGGTACAGCATAATTTGCAAATTTAATTGAGTTTGAGTTAACCATGTGTTGGTAAAGAGGATTATCGGCGTAAGCTAAATGTGAGTTATAACTATCTCCTCTTTTAATTGTCGATTTTAATTCCTTCAATTCGTTTGGTTTTACTTGAGTTATATTATTATATGGAATAGCAAATTCATCATCGTAATGATAATGATCCTCGTTTTCCTCGTTATCCAAATAAACTAATTTGGTAGCTTCGACAGGCGTTAAAACAGGAGTTGGAAGGGTTAAAACATTAAAATTTGGCACAGATATCGGATCACGAGGAATTTTTATTGTTCTATTATCAAACTCCACTCTTTTCTTTGGAATATTTTCTTTCTCCGGGCACACATCGTTGCTAAATTTTTTCTTTATAACGTAAGCAGATTTAGATTTTATCATCGTCCCTCTCGTGGGTGTCGATAATTCATACTCTTCATAATCTACTTGAGGAGAAATCGTCTGCTTTAAAAGACTTTCAGTACTATCTGTATGTTTCCCTGTTAATACTGTATAGCTACATTTATTATTAATTTTTGTTAAGTTTATTTGAGATAATTTACTTATTTCTTGTAGAAAACTATTTTTAGAAGACGATCTAGCATTTTCATTCAACTCACTACCATCGATGTAATTACTATGAGATGGATTGAACACAAACGTTTGTTCTTGTGGTTTAACTTTGTTACTTGGAAAATAGGACGAGTGTCTATGACCTCTATCAACCGAACTACAAGTCCTCAATCGAGTTCGATTTGCTTTATTTTCTAGGGAAGCTACAGAATGGTCTTTTAATAATAACTCTGAGACTATAAATGCAACCGCTTCGGCCCTTGGTTGCGGTTTCATGCCATGTATATGAATTTTTTCCCATAATTCAGTTGCTAAAAATGAAGAAAACGATTAACAATATCCTAGATAAAGGGATGACAACAAAAAAATATTGACTTTAGATTACCGATAAGTTTGAATATAAAATGAGAAAACAAGAAGAAAATATTTTTTCACGAAAAGTAAAGCTGACATCTATCAAAAGCCTCCCCATCTTATCAATTTCAGAATAACACTCCACCTCGCTTTCATCACTTCGTGAAAAAGCTCCCCCCAATGGCAATTTTTACGATCCCCAAAGCGCATCCAGTCTACTTACTGAAGTTAAACTTCCAGACGTCGTTCGTAGCGTGACCCTCTCTTTCTCCCCCAAATATCACCATCCCCGTAGGCAGTTTGCAGGCTGCGTGGCTATGGAGAGGTCCTGGGTTGATTTTTGATCTATACGTGGACCACGCTCCGGTTGTAACGTCCCAACGCCACAAGTCACCCCTCTCTTGCAAATCCGTCATACCACCATATATCCACATGGCATCTTCATGTATTACGGCGGAATGTTTATGTCGAGGAGGCGGATATCCTTCACCTGTCGGTTTTGTCTTCGATCTACTTACTAAATGCCACGATTCAGTTGCTAAACAGAAATAGTAAAAATTCGTTATACAAGGAATCTAAAAAGCACCGTAAAGGTTAAAGTTAATAATGTGTAAATACATGCAAACTAAGATTGCAATTGAATTTCAAACACATTATCAAACAGGGACAATCTCTTGAAATTCTCGTCATTAAAATACATGCTTTTAAATGCATGCTTTTAGTCTAGGGAGGGTTGGTACATGATCAATAACTCGGTCTGCATTAATACACTTTTAAAAAACCTACGCATGTAATCGTCCACATACAACTACTCATTTTATATACACAGATATATATATTTATGTTATAACTTTAAGTTCTAAGATTATCATTATTCTATCAACGTTAAACCGGCATGACATGAATCATTAATATCTTTCGTGTTGGATATTTTTCATTGAAAATGAGGCCATTTATATCACGAAATGGAAGTAGAGATACTGCACGTAAAACACGTGAAATACTGCACTTATGAAAAGTACTTACCGAAGTAGTACGCCCAGAGCTCCCCACACGAACCTTTCAGGTCCTGATAGCCTCCATAAATTAGCATAGTCCCCCTATGGACCAAAGCGCTGTGACCTCTCCTTCCCTTTGGTGTATTTACCCCTAGACAGAACGAAAATAGGGTGACAAATGTGCGATTCCAAATACATAATTTATCTTGAAATAAATCTCAATAAATTAAAAATAAAACAATGTATTAAAATTAACTTAAATCATTAATCTTTTTGAATGTTCTTAATTATTCTTTAATTGGATTAAGTGTGGACAAAAAACTTGGTAATTTATGAGTTTTTGGAACACTTCCAAAATAAAAACGTTAACAGTCCGCTTAAAGAGGATAATGAATCGCGAGCGTCGAGAACACGTACCTTTTCTAGGTCGCAGTTTCTTCCAGCTATTGTTCTTTACATCGTAACACCATAGAGGCGTTTCAGTCCCGGCTGAAAAGCCCACTTCACCACCAAACACGTATATGTTGTCCTTGTACGCAACGGCGGAGTGCTCCTGGAGACATGGAAGCTTTTCTCCACTCGGATGAAGCTGTTGCCATTTTCCAGTTACTGAAAATTAAATTCAATCACTCGACATTTCCCCCTAATTGGTCCACCAGGGAAGCGTTAGATGAAGTTAGTGCACGACGTCTAATAGACTTAACAAGGATTCGACGTCATAATGAGAAAAGGCAGTCTTTCCCCTTGGTTTCTACAGGTCATACTTATTTTATAAAATAATTAAAACATTTCTAGTAGTACTAATTAGAAGCACTAAAAGATCATTTTGTAGTTAAAGATTTACGGTGTATCTAAATAATTAAAACAAACTTTAACCCATACATTATTCAAGAAGATTAATGTCACCTAATCCAAGGCATCCAAAGCCGAGGGACGATATTTGCTTATAAAGCAGTTCAACACCTGTTACCGTAACATTTTGTAAGCATGCGTGTGAAGAGAAAAGATACAGAGAGCGTGGTGACAACTCCCCCTTTTAAAACGATGTGCAAAGGGATGGCGTGCCGTTATTTGCATAAAATAGTGCAACTTCCTGTTGAGCACTTTAACACCGCAAGTACTTGCACTTGACGCCCTAAAACGTCGGAACCGTTAAGGAACACAGCGGGAGTTCTTAATTGTTTTGTGGAAAAGCCTCGATGACTTCCAAAGTCAAACTTGGGATATTACGTTTTACTTCATTTAAATGAAAATAGAACAACTTTATAAATCGATAGATCTAAAAGTGTAAAATCTTCTCATGATGATATTAATACTTAGTGTCATTAATTATTAATATATAATTTTACTGTAAAAGATATTTGATTGATATTTAATGAAACCTCTAAATGTATCCAAATTGATTAGCCATCTCTTTAAATTGATTTTCACCTTGACTGCGTGTGCAGACAACTTTGGATGTCTATCTAGTGTTACTATCTTTGCAGATTGGTGATATTAATATGGCGGTTGATTAGATTGTGATCGTAGAAGGAACGTGGTATATTAATCACTGACTCTTTAATTAATATGTTGTTTAATTACAGTACTCAAAATAGTGAAGTGGAGAGCAATATTTAAGTTAGAGTTAATTTTGAGAGGATTTGATTTTGCCGGTTATCAGAGTATGCTCCAACGATTTTGCTCCTCAATTAGCAGTTATAAAAAAGCATTAAACTGAACAAATAAGACGAATCAATTTTCTACTTATTCACATGAAAATTAATTTGCTCTAATTGTAAGGTTTAGTTCACGAAGCAATGCCGAGAAAAGGTAATTAAACTGACTCGGCACAATAATTATAGTTTTACTACAAACGGCTAAGTCCGAAAGTAATAATGAAAGTATAAAAATTTCAAATTCAAGTACCTATATCTACAATGCAATCACGACCCCTACAGTTAGTTCAAATAAAAGGCTTAAATGGAAAATTGAGGGAAATGCTGATATGGTCTAAAACCGAGAATTAAGGGTCGTCGTGTTATGTCACTGCCAGCGTCACACTGATTTGGTCAGCAAATTCAACCCTTCATTTATAAATTGTCAAATCAATTGCTTTCACGCCAGAGCGTGATTGATATACGACCTCACGCTACATTTTATTGTATGAAAGCGTAAAATCACGTGAAATATTTCAACGTGGACATGAAAATTTATGAATGGATTTATTAATCGAGGGTATTTTATTAATCTATCCACAAAATATTACCACTTCAAGAATTTAATAATTTAATTCGATGTTTTTATTAGAAACTATCAATGGTATTTATTAGTTTTGGTGTTCTTGTAACACTCTTAAGTGAGTATTATTAACAACCCCTGTAACATGGCTAAAGAATAAATCCCTTAGTGATAGGCTTGTTACATGTCAACAACTGTTCGAAATGCAATCAGATTAAGTGGACCGTCAATAGATAAATCTCCCAAAAGAACCCACAGGAACATGTGCTTGCGCAAGTTCGTTTCCCTGTTCCTTCCCTTGTAAGGCGTTAATAACTAACTGTGGGGGCCCCAGGCTGATTGTATCCGTTACAGGAAAGTAGGGCTAGCCAGAGCTATTGTACGATTGGGAATTGAACCTTTTGTCACCTAAATCACCACGTTTCAGCACGAGACCCTCTCTCAATAGAGTGCGAACGTTATTTAATATTGATAGGTACCAGTACAGAGTTGTAAACCTAACTCCAATTTCGGCGGAGGCGCCGGTAAATGAAACTTTAAACTTTTATTTTCCTTTAAATAATTTTGATTTTTATCTATAAATAAGATTAAAACATTACTTACCTAAACTATACTTCCAAAAGTCTTTAAGTGGAAGGTTTCCATTTCTTCCTCCAAGCAAATAAACATGATCTCCAACTACAGTGGCGCTGTGTTTCGATCTTGCTGATGGAGCTGGACCCTCAACATCGCATGGAGCAACTGAGGTCCACATTATTCCCGGTGTTTATTCAAAAATAATCTGCAAATACAAAATATTGATTTTTACATGTTTTACTAGGAATTTAAAATTTAATCTTTTTATTTTTTATCTTGGTTAAATAAGAATATAAATTATCTGACCAAACAAATTCTTTCTCATTAGCATTTTAACCGGAAGGGTGTGCTAACTAAATATGCTGATAGTGCTAAAACCCTGTTGACTTTTAATTTCAGGCCGATGTAAAATCAACTTTTTATATCAAAAATGTATAACTTTAAGTGTAAAAAGTATTTGCTACTTTCTTCATTTTACCACATTCGTAGAAACATATTTGACCTACTCTGGAAGGGTTGACGACCTCAGAACATAATAGTCTCCCAAGTTCGTTTGCCTGTTTCTTTTCATTCCAAGGACCACTCAGCTTTCTCGTAACTACATCTCAAATACAATGGTTTTCACATAGTTCTAAAAAGATTTCGAACCAAAAAGATATTTTTAAATTAATATTGCTGTGTATATTTCTTTAATTAAGTGTTAATCAAATAATTTAATTAAAATAGGATTATAATTTTCCCGGTATGTAATATAATTTACGTTAACCGCAAATTCGGTATGCTCCTTGACCTATTGCAAATTACTACGAATTCATTGCTCCACATATCGAGCACTACCAACTACATCCGGTACTGTTCTATAAATAGAAAAATCATAACTTGCCAAATAAACGGATTCGAGGTCTATTGATAAAGCACTATTTGACTTTATGGAACGTGAAGCATCGTTTTCCAATATAACGAGCGGCGCGAAATTCTCGTCAAATAGGTCAAGTAGATTAGCTTCGCTGGATTCTTTACAAAAGACGCTATTAAATCGCGCAGAGAAAGAGGCTTAATTACCTCATTTAAGTCGTTTTCATCCAATTTTTAATTCAATTTTATTAACACAACACAAAATAGGTCATTTTAATCTTTTTTGCAAACAACGCGTATTGAATTTTAAAAAGGTTAAATGTGACAATATCGAATAAATAGGTCAAGAAGATTCTAGATAAGACATCTATATAAAAATTTTAATATTTAATTATTTGAAAGCAGGCATTTTTAAATTTCTAACTCTTTTTAAAAAACATATGTAATGAAATAATTAAAAAATAATTAAATCATTGTAGTTAAAGAAATAGGTTTTGATTACCAAAATATGCTACATGTGCTACCATGCGTCTTCGTCCCGATTAGTTCTTCTCCTCTCTCGTAATACGAACACCACTTCCAACACCGACACTTATACAGAGAGACTCGTGGGGAAGCAATACACCGAGAATGTGTTTTCCTGCGCGGTGTTGTTCTAGTGTGCCCACGCTTGCGTCCTGCAGGGGGCTCGTTCTACGAGAACGTTCCTCGAATCACCCTCCTATCGATTCGGGTTTACGACCCCTCGCTGGAAATTCAAAACTACCCCAGTACGCATCCTCCGTTTCCATGACGATCGGACTCCATCGTCGTAAGCCGCGCGGTCCCGCTTAAACATTTAACCTGGACAATTATCTAAACGGTGACCCTTGACCAATGAACCGATTAACAAGTCAATATTGATTTTAGCACATACAAAAACCGACTCATATGAAGAAGTGTTTTTTTTTTATAACTTTATATGCAACAACTCATTAATGAACATGATAATTTGTTATTATTTATTGTTATGTAAAGAAAATAAGTCTTGTTTCTCTATATCCAATTTATTTCTTCTTCAATAAATAAGTATTTTTTTCATGCTCTAGCTTATATAAAGATGAAACTTTGATACAAATTTTGGGTTTAAAATTTCCAAAATAGAAATCTTATTTTCAATTTTAAATATCTGCTTGTATAAATGGTGAAGTTAAATAGTAATGCACCAAATACCCTCCGTATATGCAACCCATCTTGTTAATACCTGTTGCTTTGCTTCAGGTCTATAGAACATAAAATTATGTACACTGTGAAAAATAAGCGAGTTCATTGCTCTTCATATTGGGGTTAATAGTGACTTCATATTCTTGCAAAACAGACATAATAACACATCTTCTTAACTACCTTTTAGCAGTACAAGTTGACAATATTTGATACATTCTTAATGGTATTGTACATATTTATGGTATCCTCTTATTGTTGCATTATAAGTTATAATAAGTTGTTGGTAATAATTTATAACCAGCAATTACTTTGCCTTCTTCTTTTCATTTTCAGAAATTTCAACTTGATTGTTGATAACAAAGTCCTCTCATTTTTAGTATAGTAAGGTTTTACATGGATTTATGTAGATAACGAAATTTTGTTGAAATCCATCTCGCAGAAATTCTAATATTTTTTCCAATTGTGCCAAGCACTATAAGATTTCTTTTTTCCAATTCTATAGTAAGACTTGCATAAAAATTATCAGTTGTCACAACTCGCCGCCATACAGAAGGGAGATCTATCCTAAGGAGTAAGGATGCGCAAAACATGACTCTATATCGTATTAACGTTCCTTCTTCATTTTCACCTCCAATTTGATCATCCCTGGTAAACTGAATAATCCTTCGGAAGGCTGTGGTAACCAATCGTAGTGGGAAGCAGGCTCAAAAAAATGAGAGCGGGAGTCTTAGCGTTCTGAACACACACTGAGTAGTTTCCTTATAAACAATAGAATAAAATGGTTCATAATAGATTTCAAGGCATACAACTCTAGATTATACACAGTGAATTTTGGGTATGAGTGACCAAAAAGCGATATGAAGAGAACCTTAATGTTAAAATGTAAAGATGGAAGTACAGGGTATTCCCCAGGTATTCCCAACTGGCCATACAGTCAAAATGATAGACCACTTCATTGTTGATACAAGACACCAATCTGATACAATAAATATTAAAAGTAGGCAAAGAACTAACAAGAATTGCGAATATCTAAAAGACAACAGAACAAATACAAGAGAAATGGCTCCTAAAGAACCTCAAAGATCACAGTAGAAATAGAGCGTACAAAGAGAACATAAGTTTGAAGCATAGAAACGGGCAAAAGAGCGAAAATGCTAACATCGAGTAGAACAAATGAGGTCGCAGTAAAAGCTGTAAGAATTGAAACAAAATCAGCGGGCAGTTCAATAGACTGGTTTGATGAAGATTGCACCGAGGTAACGGAAAGAATCAAGCTTATAGTAGAATACTATAACAGCGGAGAACAGCCAGACAAATGAAGAAAGAGTACAGAGCACAAACGTAGGAAGAAAGGAGGACTCATAGACGAAAAAAGAGAAAGGTCATAAATAGCGAACTGAGAAAATTAGATAAATAAAGACCACATTCAGAATATAAATAGGAATAGGAAAGGATTTAATTCTAGGACAACAATCCGCAGAGATAAAGAGGAACGAATTCTGATGAAGCATGGTGAAATACTGGAAAGATGCTTCACTATGAACAAAAGCTGGGAAAACACCAGAAGAACCGCTGATTGCGTTCGATCGTCAAAAGATTTTATATTCTTTTTAATGCTTCAAACTCTGGTGTTCTCTTCTTTGGTGCTTTGTTGTTATCCACATCGGTATAATGAACCTCCGTTTATATTACCCAATTTTAGCGGATTGTGTGTATCTATAAATGGTTGTCCCGATCACTCTTTCCAAGTGCAAAAACTTCCGTTGTGATGATGTGGTTGCCATGATAGCTATTGCAGCATACAGTTTTGGTGAATAATAAAACAAAACAGCAGTAGATATAATAAAATCATCTTATACTAGGAGCTAAAGTACATTTTATATACTAACTACTACTATTAGACCTAGAACTAGAAACTACCATGCGCCTTTTGAAAAAGTGTTTGACATTTTGGAATGCCTGTTGCAATCTTCTTCAGAACTTGTTTCTGAAGAAGGTTTTTAATAGAATTACGAATATTGCTAGTAATTCAATTTAAGCAACAATATTAATTATACATATTATTATTATAAATAACTTTGTTACTACACTTTCTAAGTTGTTGGAGTTTGGGCAAATATTTACACCTTAATTACTTACCACGAGAACATTGCACCAAAACTTTAAAATTTTTCTTTACCGGTTTCTTGATTTTAGGCAACATCCCTTGCATATTCCATTAAAGCAAAACATTGCAACAAAATTGCTTCTTTGCACAAAAAAATAGTTATATTCCAATTCTATGTACTTAGTTTTTTATAAATAATTTGAATAAAGGTCATCATTCTTTTCGCATCCTGTAAACAATGAATTGTATGAATGGGCATCATCCAAACTAAAACATTAAATAAGCATTAACGGCTTATAATATTTTGGATTAAAGACTAATTAAGTTTATTTATATTTATAGCAACACTTGCAAATAAAGGTTGTAATTATATATAAATAAACCCAAAAATATTTAAAATTTCATTTAAATATCTATCATGTATGCAACCATTCATTCAATTGTTGTAAACGTTCTAATTTTAGTACTTTTACCCGCTAAAATCAACATTAACGAATTTATTTCAACATTAATTTTATATTTTTAATTTATAATTTTAACTTAATTTTAAAATCATTTCAAACATTCAATAAATATATAAAGAAAAACAGCACAAATTATAAATAAATAAATAATTGTTAAACAATATCCAACAATATCTTTTGAACACCACCAAATATTAACTTGTTAAAATTGGTAAACAATAATGATAAAATATTTAAGTAAAATATTATCTATAAGATCTGTTGCCCTTTAGTCCTAACGTCTAACTATCTATTTTTAGTGCCTCTGTCACAATAAACTGTCCAACTCAATCAAACAACTCCAAAATTGTAAAAATCCTTTCTGCAGTGACGACACCAAAGGCAATGATACGGTTAGTGATTACTTAAATATAATATTTTTTCTCATTAATTGTCATATCGTTATGTAATTTTTTAGAAAAGCTGGTTGAAGATCAACCATCAGACCCAACCCATTTTTTACATGAAGTCCAAGTGAAGTCCAGCAAAATAGGTAGCAGAAGCAGAAGATACAGTGCTAGAGGAATCATGACCAGACCCCCCAATGAAAATTTGCCCACTGTTAAATTGGTAGTTGTTGGTGATGGTGGTGTGGGCAAGAGTGCCATCACCATACAATTCTTTCAAAAACTTTTTGTTACTGATTATGATCCGACTATAGAAGACAGTTATATTCAGCATGTTGAAGTTGATGGTCAATGGTGTATTCTTGATGGTAAGATTTATAAAAATTTTAAATATTTTCTATTTATGTTCATTGTATGTATTTTTTTGTTTAGTTTTGGATACAGCTGGTCAAGAAGAATTTAGTGCCATGAGAGAACAGTATATGAGAAAAGGAGATGGTTTTTTATTAGTTTATTCTGTTACTGATCGAAATAGTTATGATAATATAATACATTTTCATACACAAATTTTAAGAGTAAAAGACAGGTATTGGCAATGTAAGATGTTGAACCTTTTATCTCATTATTGATAATTTTAGAGATGTTTATCCAATGTTATTGGTTGCAAATAAAGTGGATTTAGTTCATTTACGTAAAGTAAGTGAAGAACAAGGAAGGGAGCTTGCTCACAAACTTGGTATTCCATACATTGAAACAAGTGCTAAAGATCCACCATTAAATATTGATGCCACTTTTCATGAGGTATTACATGTTACTACTAATACATAAAAATATATGATTTTAATAAAACTATTAATATAGGTGGTACGTATTGTCCGCAATCAACCTCAGGGAGATGACAAACGAAAAAGGAAGAAGTTACAAAAGCTTGGCAAATGTGTTCTGCTTTAAATAATCGAAAGTTTTCACATTTTTTTCTTTTCCAATTAGGTTTAATTGGTAAACTTTATTGTCAGTTAGAAGTTAAATGATATGGTTATGGAAAGGGAAAGAAGCTTTGCATAAAAAATATATAAAATTTAATGAGGTATTAGCTTTTGATGTGTAAATGTGAAAGTAATTTTCTAGTGGTTGAAGTTTGTGTTTTTGTCTTTAGAATTGTAAATGGTTTTAATGTTGATTGGCTTATGACATTCTAAATTCTATAATGAGCATCAAAAACGTTGTTAATTACTTAAAGTAAGAACTTTAAATTAAAATATTGAAATGTTTAGCAAGTACGAGAAAATATTCTCAGCATAATAGAAAATTACTTTCTTAAAACACTGATGGTGTGTTTGCAGGAGCCAAAGAAATAGACATTTTGCACAACGGACCAAAGTTGCTCACTTAAAAAAGGCTTAGTCAAAAGAGTTGTTGTTTAAACAAACGTAAAGAATTTTTTACAAAGTTTTTTTTTACATAAAGCAATGTTGTTCATTTTTATACAACTTCTTTTATAGCAAAAGCGTTTTATTCTTTTATAATCATCAAATTCTTACTTGGGGTCTATTTTATCTGTGATTTGAAAATAACCAAAAATTTTGTTTTTGCAATTTATTCTCTGTTTTCATAATTTTATATTAAGTATATGTTATTGTTTATATGTTTACATCTTTATTAAACGTAATAAGCTTTAAAAAGAAATAACAATCAAGACAACAGAAAAGTGTGACAAAAATAATCTATATACTTTGTGCAATTTCGACTGTGCATGTCGTTTATTTACGACATTTTTATATACTTACTTTTTTGATACAAATTCTTAGTTTTTAAATTTCAATGTTATGTGCATGACGTGTAATTATTAAAAATACAATTAAATAGCAAATTAAATTATTATTTCTACTTCCACAAATTAAGTCTGTTTGAGTAAATCTGGGTTCTTGAATAATTTCATAAATTATACAGGAGCCCATTGAAAATGGACCCCATTGAACCCGCTTAGCGTCAAAAGTTGTCCCCCTGATAAACAAACTAGCCGTTTTTCAGGTTTTCTTGGGTTTTCTTCAATACAAATGATATACCAACTGCTGGATCTGGCCCCACAAACGCTTTAGAGCTGCCCTCTCAGCTGCCGCTTCATTGCTAGCAACTCCAGACTGACCTGGGGTCCAAATCAGAGAAACTCTGTTATCACAACTCAGTGTGTTTAAAGTACTTTTACAGTCATTAAGTCAGGCTGTGAGCTTGCTTAATCCGAAGTATTTGGCAGTATACTCCTGCCCCGACCCCTTCCTGCGTTTTTAAAGTATCTGTGAACATGCAAATATCTGCCTGAGCCAGAGAATTTTCGTTTTCGGTCCAGGACTGTCAGCTATGGCAACTATGAGTGTTCCATGAAGGTATAATATCCTATCAGCGCCAGTCGTAGACGTCTTATGTCAACATAAAAACACACCTGTCATTTTTGATTTATTAACTACCTACTCTGAGACACTTTCAATTACTGAATAATGTTAATTTATTACGAGTACAACGTTCTTATCTCTATCTTCGCTACTCTTCCAGTTCAAGAAAATAACGACACTTATCGTCTAGTAACTTTTTATGATACTGAAACGGACATATTTCTATTTTTAAGGTTCCTCCTGTACCAAGTGTTTCTTAAAAATTTCTTCATGTTCGTTATTTATTACTAGATACATCTTCAGTTCTAATCCTGTCTATTTTCTAACATAAAAAGTTATAATTATTTGTTTTTTTTTTATAGATAGGAACTTTGAGGTATATTTCTCATTACTTTATCTTTTGCAACAGAAGAAAAATAATTTATTTTGAAACACAATTTACTTTTTGTACAAGTTACAATATTTTTCAAGTTATTTATAATATTAATTTTATATCTACAACGTATCAACGCAGAAACATTTACAAGTACATGCTGTTACAGGACATTCAGAATGTTCTCTAAAAGAAGAAAAAAAATTATAATAAATATTGTTATAAAATATGATGGTTTTGTGCATACTTAAACCACTGCAGCATATGAGAAGCATGACCGCCATGTCTACAAGTTTGACACCAAGTGAACCAATGAGAAAAATCAGCAACCTTCATTCCATCATTATCCATTTGAAGATGATCACCGGTTGTAGTTCCCATATGCATTAGACAAATCGCGCATCTGGGTAATGGTTTTCTACAAGCTGGACAAGCAGACATCTAAAACTTGGAATAAAATAACTATCTACCTAATTTAACATTAAGCTTTATTACTTTTATTTTATTAGAACTTCCCATTCTTGTATAATTTCCACGTCCTCTATTTAAACCTTGCATATAAGCAGAAATGCTTTTGCCACAAAAGTTACAAGAAATATACACTTGTTGTGGTGGTTTATCAGTTGGTCGCTCGCTACATAACATTATATCAAAATTTGCTCGCTCATGCCAATATTGCCAAGAATCTAACAAACTTCTGTAACTATTAACCCAATCTTTCCCCAATTCTTGTAAAGTTTCGCTATTAAATGCTCGAACTGATATTAAAGCGGTCGTTTGAATATCACTTGTTCTATCTAAATATTTCTGTAAAATTTTTATGCCCTCAAATGTATTCCCTAAAATTATTTTTGATTAAAACTTTTTTTTTAAGTATTTTTGAAATAAAAAAAAACCTGTGAGGAGTAACCCATCTAAATTCCCTTCCTCTGTTAATTTACTGGTTAATATTTTTAAATAATCATTTAATCTCGTATCTGATAAATAAAGACAAGCAAATCCAATTCTATCATTTACTGAGACTTCATTTTCATACTGTTAAAAAAAATCAATTTATGTTTAAAAAAATACATTTAAATATTTACATTACAAACCAATATATCATCATAATTTCCATTTTCAGCAGTTAAAAACGCAAACATAGCTCTGAGATAAGCATCATCAAGTTTTGTTCTTGGTGAAGAACAAAACTGTCTCCACATACTACCTTTATCTTCAGAATAACCGGCTAAAGCCATTGCAACTACATTTAAACTATTTCCCATAACACTATCTTCAGCACCTTTCGAAAGGATTTCAATAGCAGATTTAAGATTTTTATGAAAAACAGCAATTGCCGCCGCTCTAGTGTATAAGTGATTCTTTTCAAGTTCCTCCAAAAACTTTGTTAGTGAATCTTTTTCAACATGCCATCCACATAAATGAAGTGCTTTATCTCTATCTTGTCTAAATTTTTTGTTTTAATAATAATAAATAATTAAAAAAAATAACTTACTTAAACAATTTCATTGTACTTAATGAAGTAGCATTGCTGGTATCTGAAGATGATAAGGAAGAGGGTTCTGATTTTGAAACGTTATTTTCATATTTTAAAACTGATTTAATTCCAGGATGTTTAAAACCATTTCCTTGTATTACACCTTCATCCACCAACTTTTTACTTAAATGAAGCCAATTCCAAACGGTTGCTAATGAATCATCGTTAGCTAATTCGCCGTTTCTCCACAACTCATCGTTTAAACCATACCCTTTATTAGCTCTATCTTTAATTTTTTCCGATATATCATCCAAAATATTACAATTTCCACTCGAATTAGTGATATATTTTAATGTTTTTCGGCCGCACGTCCAAATTAAATTTGAATTAGAAGCCCAATTTAGTGTAATTCTATCATAAACAGTGTAATCAACCATTTGTCCTTTAAATAATTTTTAATGTAAAATCGATCAATAAAATTTAATGAATCAATTTTATTATACCGGATAATAAACTAGCTAAAAACCTATTTTCGTCAGAATGATTCCAAGAAAATGATGTTATGCTATGAGTTCCAGGAGTCACAACTCTTTCAATAACGGACGGTTCAACCTCTTCATTTTCAATTAAGGTTTGTTGGATATCATATAAATGCAAAGCGGAAGAATCACGTTGTAAAACACCAAGTAAGTTTTGTCTGATTTAAAAAAAAATTGATAAGATTTTGTGATTTATTGAATGGGGCCGTTACACTTTTTTTTTTATTGGCTTATTCGATAGTTTAGCAAAATTGGAGATTTCTATAATTTTTTATTTTTTAAACTGGGCTTTAGTTTTTCCAAAAACTTTGGAAAAATGAATGAGCGAGATGCCATGAGAATCTTGTGCGCTAGAAGAAGAGATCCGAACGATGCACGTTTGTGTCTTCTTGATCTTACGCGAAATCCTCGTAAACGTCACCAAACCTTTTATAGAAGGGATTTTGAATTTTAATATTAATTATTGCAAAAATTAAACAATTTTAGGATCTGAAAATGTCACCAAACTTCTATTTTTACATAGTTTATCGATTTTTTTAAAAGATTTATCGATTTTTTTGAAAAATGTTTTTTCTATTTGATAGAAGGTAACAGCCCCATTGCATGAATACATACTTTGTAGGACACCAACTTATTTTTGAAATTAACTTCCCATGGGGAAGTACCAAAACGGGTTTATCGAAATTTCGAGTATCCCAAACATTTAATTGATGATCAGAGAATGAAGCTAAATATTTATCATTATTAACATTTACATTCACACCCAGTACTGCTTTTGTTGTTGCAGAATTTGCAAGTTTAATTGAATCTGAAAATCAATTATATAAGTATGTATCAAAAGATGTTTTTGACATTATTAACCTCTAAAATCTAATATTTTAATAGATTTATTATTCATTCCAGCTGCTAAAACTTGTCTGTTAATCCAAGCTAAACTATGAGTTGTCTCTGAAAGTCCGTATTCTAAAACAGGTCTTATATGACTACTTTCACTAATCATTGCAGTTTTCGTAATGTCCCATAACAATATGGAACTATCTGATCTATTCTTATCTAAACCAGCTACGATTTTGTAAGAATCCACAGGATTCCAAGCAAGAGCATTACATGATCTTTGATGTCTTGGAACTAAAATGTAAAAAGTTAATATTTCATTATAAATTGAATTAAAAAAGGTAAAATTTTAACCTAATTCTTTTCCTGAAAAACTTTGATGCTCATAATCTAATTGACCAAAACTAGATAATGTTACTCTTCCGTTTGAATGTCCAACACCCAATAAAATATCTTTGTCAGATTTTGGGTAAATATCGATGCATTTAACGTAATGATAATTGCTGTTTGTTGCTAATAGTAATGCTCCTGATGTATTTGATAAAACTACCACTAAAAAAAAGTAAACATAATTTATAGTTGATTATTGAAATCCTACTTACAGGGAGTTGATTGATCTTTTAAAGGTTGTATTTCGTACAAACATATTTCAGAGCCCCACGTTATAAATTTGTTTTTAATAGGTGACCAAAGAATTTCTAACCTACTTGCCATATTTTATAATTTAATTTTTCGATTTTAATACATGATTCGTTTAAATATTTATGATTTAAGGAGCCATAAACACAGAAACGTACATATAATCGTCCTTAAAAAAAGGTAAATAAACAGTTATACTTTATGGTAGGTTATGTATGTCAATGTATTCAGGAATTTATGATCTGTGAATGTAATTGGTTGGAAAAGGTGTTTAGAGAGGACATAAAGGAATTTTATTATAAATTAATGATTGGAGTGGTCTACACTCGACTTTTTCGTATTAAAACTAATGTTATTGAGAAACGTCAAATTGACAGGTGATGAAAGTGACATTTAGAGCAATTCGAAACGTCATTTTGACAGTTATTTATATTCTAACATTTTATTTTATGTTTTTTATTATTTACTTTTTTATTTATTTATTTAATTGTTATTAATGCACGAGAAAGTAAAAATATAGTACTAAAACAATAATATTCATTTTGTGCACTCTTGCAAAACGTTTCCGAATGGAAGATTTCATTATTTATTTAAGCAATATTTAGAAAGCAAGTTCTAATATATAATAAATAACTTTAAAGTTTATCCCTAATGAAAGGTGATGAAAGTAAATTTGGTGAGAAGTTTCTAAAGTCTACTCATAGATGTCGCTACTTGCTAATAACTAAATTATTAAGATATTTTAGTAATCAACCTACTTATTTCTTTATTGCCCAAATATATAAACAATTAAAATTAATTAAGTATAATCTAGCTTAAAATATTCAAACAAAAATAAACATTATTTTAAAATGACATTATTTGTCATTTTGACATAATACTAAAGTAAGGTTAGAATAAAAAAATTTATTGATTTTGATAATAAACAATAATTATAAACTGAAATTAATATATAAATGGAGCGTTAATTAAGATTTTATATGATTTAAAATAAACTTTTTATATGTTTTATTCTATGAAAAGGCAAAGATCTGTAATGCAAGTTGTCTACGCCTAATTTCACGGCATAAACAAGAGACAAGTTCTTTAACGTTTGTCTCTTGCGCGAACAGCAGGAGAATCCTGTTATTTCTCCTTTTCAGAAAAGCAAACGGGAAAACGGTTTATCCATTTTATCCTGTATGCAAAGACAAGCATCGGTCACGGAAATTCGTCACGACAAACGCCGATTGTGTTTAAATCAATGGTGGGGATCAATGAGTAACATACCAGTTTAGAGTGCGTATAGGTGTCTGTTAGTGAATACGGAAACGTACCGTCAGTGTTTAATTTTTTTTGGGAAATTAGTGTGAAAATTTGTGTAAGTGAGTTTTATTTAAATCTTACATAATTACACGTATCTCTACAAAATACGTGCTTTTAATAGGTCAACTGATAAAGATCATTTTTGGATTTGTTTGTTCGCAGGAATTTTATTTTAAACGTTAGATAATTACAAAAATCAACAAAGAAAAATGTCTAAAAAACCAACAATTCAACCAGCTCTTCATAAAGTAATCATGGTCGGAAGTGGTGGTGTAGGAAAATCAGCCCTAACGTTACAATTTATGTATGATGAGTTCGTCGAAGATTATGAACCAACCAAAGCTGATTCTTATAGAAAAAAAATCTTGTTAGATGGAGAAGATGTTCAGATAGATATTTTAGATACTGCTGGTCAGGAAGATTACGCTGCTATTAGGGATCATTATTTTCGTAGTGGTGAAGGGTTTTTGTGTATATTTTCAATAACAGAAGATGAAAGTTTTCAAGCTACTCAAGAATTCAGGTTGGACTAAAATAGGTTATAAAAAGTCATGTAAATTAATGAGTTTATTTATTGATTTATTGTATAGGGAACAAATTTTACGTGTGAAAAATGATGAAAACATTCCTTTCTTATTAGTCGGAAATAAGTGCGATTTGGAGGAAAAAAGAAAAGTATCTTTTCAAGAAGCAAGTGAGAGAGCTAATCAATGGGGTGTACCTTATGTTGAAACATCAGCAAAAACTAGAGAACATGTAGATAAGGTAAGATTTTAATCATTTTATTTAGTTTTAATAATATATTTTGAATAAATTAAAGTTTTTAAGGTAATATGTGTCATTTTCTGTTGGGTTTTAAAAAATCTAAATCTAAATAATATTGAGGAATCTAGATTCTCCCAGATATTGCAGGTTATTTTGAAAATAAAAGCTTTTTAAGTATTGCAATCATTCGAAAACCTATTAAAAACTTCCTTAACCATTACTAATTTTTTCTATTTATCTATTTATATATTTTCTAATTTTTTTTTATGGGATCTGTAACACAACATAAATTCCATATATCATAAAAAATGGATGTTATTAATTTTATAAGTCTTTAATAGAATGTTCATTGACATTATTTTAAATATTAACTGATATTTTATCAAATAATTATCATAATTCAACATATTCAATCTAAAAATATCTTATAAAACCTAAATCAACTGCTAATTAACGCTTAACCCGACGTTAGCCTAATGTTAACTCTGAGTTAATAAATCCAACATGCATTACACCAAGGGTTAATCAAACGTTTATTAACGTTTGACAGTGTTACTTTAATTAAAATAGTTTTATAAAGTTCTGTTAGCATCACATTAACTTCAAGCGAACGCTAATCTATCAAATTGCTGAATTAAGTGTTCTGGAAAAGCGTAGTTAACACAACTGTTAATTCTTTAACATGTTGTGTAAGATCATATTTAATCAAAAATTGTTAATCACTCAACTTATTCATTGGATCGCCTTCTGTTGTTAATAGTTCGTTTTGGTGTGCCAAAAACTGTTACTAAAAAATCTTAGTTTACAACGAGAAGAGTTCTGTATAGAGACGTAATCTGTATACTATGAATGCGCAATTAATATCGACTCAATTGTGCTGCCAAGGCAATGACCTCTCATAAGATGATCGATAATTTTTTGAATTCAACGATTTGAAAGGTGGTTCAAGCGCTGGTCGTGAATGGTCCTTATGAAGCTATAATTAAAATCCATAGTGTCCACGTTATATGCTTGGTTTGTATTTGTAAATGAATCCTAACCTCATCATTTGACACTATTTAATGTGAGAATAGTAAGAAAGATATAACTAGCTTTTTTAGAATTTAATTACGATCATGTTTGACTAAACTAAACGTGAAGCGAATCATTAAATGAGAATGCTTGATCAACATTAGTGGTTATTATTACAAGGAATATTTCGTGTAATTAAACCATCTCAGTATCCAAGTTATTCATAGTGGGACATCTCCTGCAATGTAAATTTTATTTTGGTAGTTCTATATTTATAATGTGATTACTTGTTTTTATCTTCATTAGATAATAACAGAAGGTTGTATTAATATTTCACTTCATTAAAAGTATTTTTTAATAAAAATGTTGGAAGTAAACAATCGATTTTTAAGTAACATTTTAATTGATTATTTATTTCTTATCTTGAGATATTGATTTTTTTAAATTAAATTTTTTACATTGTTGATTATTTTGGACAATATTACACTTTGTTTATTAGATTTTAAGCCTTGAAAAAGTTTTTTTCTTGCAATTTTTCATACTTCGTATTTGAATTAGTGTAATTGGATTTATTACACGACATCCATTTTTCTACAAATGATTACTTTTTTAATTCAATATTAACCGGAAATCGGTGATCCTTATCATTTATTATATGTGTATCAATTTTGATGAAAAATATTAGTTGGATTTACTCAATGTTTCTAAATTAGTCGTCTAATTAATTATCCAATTGCATCGTAATTCGTAATAAAATAGATAGTAGCTGATTATAATGACGTTATGAAGGTGATAAAGAAATAGTAGATAAATAAAATTTTGATTAAGTTTCATTACTTAATTCGACCGTAATTTAGTGATATTTCAATAATTTTTATGTGGTAACACATTTCCATATTTATTGCGCACGTTTCTGTCATAAAATTTTCAAAATTTCGTGGTTCTTTTATAACATCAATCGATGTAATTTCGCTATAATTGTCAGCTGTAATTAAAATCGTTTTAATTAAAATCGGTTTCCTAAGATAATTGCCTTAAACGCATAGGTCAAGGCGTTAACACCTTCAATTTATTTACCGTGGGTGTTAACACTTTAAATAATAATTTAGAACCATTAAAAAGAATGTGGAATGGATATATTCTTCAAAGTTTCAAAAAAATGTAAATAATGTGTATACCGTTTACAATAAAACGTTTATTTATAGAACGTTGCCGTTTTGGAATTATTAGAGAAACTCGTCAATAAATTGCGGTGAGTCATTCCCATGTGTAATAATCATTAGTTATCTTCATTACGTCGATTGCCAACCCACCACAGTGTGATGACTTTTTTACGTTATAATTGCTGAACTAATTGTGACTAAAAACTAATTGACCATTATTAAGGCGTACAATTGTATTTTGTTGAGTTAGTTCGGAAAAAATTTGAGGTACGGCTATAATCTGGGTTAGTATCTTCCGTTTAACGGCACCTTGAGAAATAACGTTACATAATTTCCTTCCTGCATTGTGATGTACGGCAGAAAACAAAAGAAAGACGAAGATTGACATCAGAAAAGAACTGTTATCTCGTGAAAACTCTGTAACTAAAATGTAAGATTAATTTATAAAAATGTGTCGTACAAATTTTTGATACTTCAAGAAAAAATACGTGAATAAAGATTAATATTAAAAATTTCAGTAATCTGACGATCTCGGGTAGCATAAAGCTTTCCTTTGCCATAATCCAATAACGGCAAATGTGCCTTTACATATTTGAAGATAAACATTTTGGTTTCTTTTGTTTAAACAATTTGGAATGTTGCGTTTGATACAAAATTTTATGGCCATTGTAGTTTCAAATAGGAGTAGATTCCTAACCTAATCATTAGAAATCCCTGAATATATTTGAAATTTCCCAATAAGCTTATCTACAGGGTGTCTACATAAGTATTTCGAATGCGCTGATCCAGTCTTGAAAATGATGTATGTCGCTTCGCATAAATTCGCCTTGCTTCGTTAGTATTATCTTAAGCTGCTCCATAGGCATGTCTGCTAATTTAATATTTGTAAAATGATGCATTTTCAATCAAACTTACTCTGATTAAATTTTTTTTATCCCGATACTGAATAATATCCGGACATCAGTTCATTAATAAAAAATATCATTTCCAATAATTAGGAGTAGATATTCTGTGACATTCTGTATAAGCAAAGTTCTTTGAGAAGCCCTGGAAAATTTTCTGGAAACTGACTAGAAATACTTGAAAATTCGCCCATATCCCTAAGTATCATAGAGAAACTTAAAAATCCTTGAAAAATCTTTGAAATTTGTGGACATCATTAAGAAATTAAGAATTTTTATAGTGGCAATCCTTACAAATTCTTGAAAATACTTTTAGATCCTTGCTGATAGAACAACAAATTCCTGATTGCGCCTTATTATGAAATCTATTTGCTTCTTTTGATGTATTTCATGTAGACATGTTAAATGTGCTGGGCTTTCATATTTAAAAGAGGGTGATGACTAACCCGAAGTTCGACTACGGCGTTTGTAAAAATAGCGCCTTCGGTCAAACACTAATTATTAATTAGCAATCTCCTTATACATTTTATAGCAAAGCTAACGAGAAAACTTTAATTAAAATTTTAATTATTTACGTATCGTAATAAGCACACACCGTAGATAATACACACATTATCGATATTGGTATTAGATTTAATTCGTTCACACATTGTGATTCAGAGAACCCAGCTAAGGTGTATATTTAGTCAATGTAGTTTAAACTTAAAGTAAAGTTTTATTGAAATTGTGGCCAGTATATTTTTTAAATCTCCTATGTCGAAATACCATTCATGCAGGTTGGAACTTGAAAGATACATTACAACCACGTGTTCAAAGCAAGAAAAATTTGGCACCATTAAGACACTCGTTTGACTAACTTAAAGATATTGTTAATTTATTTATTAACGATTTGGGATTCATCTTTAAAACATTCATAAATAGTATTGGAAAAATACAACATTTGTAATTCCTCTTGAGAATTGATTTACATGTTTGATTACTTTTATCAGATTGTGAATAACGTTTATGTCAGAAAAGTACATTAAAAACGATATAATCGTACCTGTGTGATTATGTTGTATGAATCAGTATTGTAAATATTGTCATACTTTTATACTAAATAGATTATGGAATTTTAATGAAACTATTTTCGGCCGCTTATTTCATAGCATTTAAAATTCTTTAGATATCAACATTACTTGAATACATTTAAAGTTAAATAAAAAGTTATTTAGGAAATATTTAAAAATTATATTTTTTATTTAGTATTTCGGTACATAGACGTCGTAATAGTATCTTTGTTGGAATATCTTTGAAACCCACAGGAAATTGACGCAATCTATAATTAGATCGTTTGTTTCGTTATTCCCCATTTGTGCCTTTAGATTTATTGATCCAATCGCAGTCTGTTTCCCACGTGCTCCGAGTTTAAAGTACATACTGGTACTATTATAGTATTTTCATTTTAATTGTTTAACTTTGTTATTTTGGCCTCAATTCCGTTGTGTTTTCACTGAATCAGTCGCGCGAATCGCATAGTTAGAAAGAAAAAAAAAACACGTTTGACTCATCAAGTATGATTTAACACTTTTATTGTATCTATTAATAGATATTTAATTATGTTTCAGGTATTTTTCGATTTGATGAGGGAAATTCGAGCGAGGAAAATATCAGACAACAAGATCAATAATGGCAAGGGAAAGGATAAAAGCAGTAAAAAGAAATTAAAGTGTGTAATACTGTAACTGTTATATTTTCTGTACTGGAGAGGTGTGCGTGTACTCGTCGTGTCCCATAAATGCTTATAAATTCGCTTTAAGTGTTCATTTTTTTTTGTACAAGTCTCTTTTATGTTGGCACTCATACAACAAACCGCATCACCAACCAACTGAACGATTATGGTGTTCAAATTGCCCGCAAAACGAATTGTGATGTTCTCAAAAGAATAAAGTATGACGTACGTTTGATATTTTTTACAAATCATCTTTATACGCCAGTGATATCTCTGGGATATTAGTTTTGTTATTTGCATAAAACTTTTATTAAACATAAAAATCAAAGAAAAAATAATTTGAAAAAAATTGGGCTCGATTTTGTTTTAAATTTATATTGTTATTGTTTTCTTTTGGATTAAATTTTGGCGAAGCTAAATTATCTTACTGGACCTATATACAACTTTCTAAAACTATATTGGTTTACATTTAAGTGTATATTTATAATACATTAGCATCTAAGTATATTATAGAAATTATTTTTATTTTATAAAAAGTTTCTGAGTAATATTGTTTACTTAAATAAAAAAGTATTATTCACAATTGTCTCCTCACTTTTCTTTTTGGTATGCAATTTAGTTACACCTGTGCAAATTTTCAATTAATTTATTCATTTTAGATGCTTGTCTGCTGCAAATAAGACATATTTACACACGTGGATTAAACAGATAATGTTAATTCCTCCTTTTTATGTGCAATTTTGTTTGTTTATGCCTTTGTTAAAGAAATTTTTTATAATATTAATCTATTATCTTATCATTCCAGATGCTTTTTTTGCTGTAAATAAGAAATTACTTTAAGCTATTTCTACCCATGTTGACTATATGGGTGGATCATATTCAGTACCTACGTTTAAATAAATCTAATTAATCTAATGGATCACAATCATGTGAAACACTGTTATGGAATCTATGTTTAGATCATCATGGTATATTGATTCACTGTATGATGAAAATTATGATCTAAATAAAACCAAAGCAATGATAAACTTCGAGATGGTCTTCTTTTAATAAAATTAATTTTTGCATGTACACACTTAATCACATATTTATATATGAATTTAAAAAAAATAAATATCTATTGTCTGATAGTACTTTATAATCATTTAAATAAATAATTTTTTGAATATCCTTATCAAGAAATTCATATCAGTGTTAAGTATACTAAACCTACTATTAACACAGCACTAAATGCTTTTTGTTAAAGAGTCTTAAAGAATTTTTGATGATTTCCTTAGAAAATGCCGTATTTTGCGTTGTAAAATATCTCAAAACAGTTTGCCATAAAAATGAAATTATATAATACCAGTTTTATTTATTAAGGGATGCACTTAATCAATAGTTAAAACATTTCATTAATACCTAAACAGTATACAATTTAAGCTATAACCATTTAGGACAACTTGATTGTTGAAGATGACTTAAGAAGAATTGTGAGTTATATTAATATTGTCTCATATATGTTGCTGTTGAGAATCGTACTAATACATGTATTAGTATTCAACACCTTGACACTCAATTGGGGGATTATCATTGAAACGAGTAGTCTAAAATTTCGTAGTCTACAGTTTGGCAAATTTATCTTGGGCGGTCAGTTGCGCAGAAGAAAGAGTGCAATAGTAATAAAAATGTAGTAACATTACTCTAACATTAATGTTTATTGTTATGCAAGATTGAATTCAAAAATTCATGTTAGACATTTGAAGATTTGAAAAAAACACCTTTAAAATATTAAGTATTAAGCAAATTTGCTTTAAAATCCTTTTTATTTCATGATGATATCTCCATTCGTTCTTGACATACGATTCTATATTTCATATCATAATGGAAAAGTGATGGATAATTACGTAAGTTCGAACGAGTAATTTTTTTATTGTAGAGGTTTAAAACCAAAAAATTGTTTAAAGCCGCGTTGCCACATCTTCCTTACGTTTTTTGTCTTTTCACCACCACTACTTCTTCTCCCCAGAACAAATTAAGAAGGGGATGTAGGAAAGTTGATTTTGTAATAACGCATTTTAGTTACTACGCGGGCATCTAGGGTGATAAAGTTGTTGCGAAAATAAATTCACTTACGCGATTTAAATGATAAAAACATATTATATTTGTGCTAAGTATTAGGTGAATATCTGTGTTTTATGTGATCAATATGAAGATTAAATCAGTGATGTTGGGAGAATATGTAAGTACATTAAATCTTCATCAAATTTGCTTTAAAATGTTCTTTATTGCATGATGATATCTCAATTCGTTGTTGAGATACGATTCTTTTAATTTCTGTTTCATATTTATAACGATCAAATACGGCGGGTTAGATTTAAAAGCCATAACAACGCTGTTTATGGAAAATAAGTATTTATGGTGCATTAAATCTACATCAAATTTCCTTTAAAATGTTCTTTATTTCATGATGATATTCCCATTTGATTTAACAAAATTTAAATTTCATGATTGAAAAAATGATGCATGAGGCCAACTCCTTGGGAAGTTTCGTTTCCATGCTTTATTGTACACCTGATTCTTTTCCAGGAATTATTGAGATTGACTTGCTCAATGCTCTAGAATGTATTTACTTTTACATGAAGCTGTATTCTACATTAGGTTTAATTATAACATTAGTCTTGCACACATTTTTTATTTTTGAGTTATTGACCTTATTAAACATATATTTTTCGATAAGTCTGCACACGTATATTTGGTTGCCGAGCTGAGTTTCAATATTATTTCATGGCATGACTCAATATGATTAAAAATGGTTACTGAAGATCCTCACAAACTTTAACATATATATCTTATATTTTTTTACCATCAATCTTTTTTGAATGCGATAGTAGTCGTGAAGAATCGCGAAGGGTGGTGAAAGTATAATACAAGTTGGGTAAAAATGATACTCTTATAACATATAGAAATGGAAAGAATTGTAGTTTATTATATTCTCTTTGGTAGCGTTTTTGACAGAAGAATGTTTTTCTTCCTATAGAGAGAAAAACTTGTTTTACATTACATTACATTACAATTACATTACAATTACATTACAAAACTTGTTTTAGATGCAGAGTTTGTAATTACCATCAGAGTTAGTTTAATTACTTTTTCTCCTCTTGATATATGGACTATATAATATAAGCCCAGACATCACGCATTTCCGGCCACTGAACTGACACAAGTCCATAAACGAAAGAAATCGATATTACTCAGACGACAGTAAATTATTATTATTTATGTGTTGAGATAAAGTTGGTAACAAGATCTAAGTAAAGCGTGGAATAGAGCCAATTAGAATTTGAACGAAACTTTGCAGATTTAACGAAAAGAAAAAATTTATAAGAAAAATAAATCTAAAACGGCAAATTATTTTATTACTTCATATAATAACGAGCAGAATCCGGTTTACTTTTGTAGTGGAACTAGAAACCGTTAAACTTGCTGCAACAACAACCCTTTGGGAAATTAAATGTAACCGACCAAATACAAAATGTTTGTTTTGTATCTAGTTTTTATGACAACTGTTTTTAATTTAGTCCTTCATCGTTTCAATGTCCTTTTTATTATTATATTAGAAATGCACTTAATATTCAACCGCATTTATTTATTTATTTACAAACATTTTATAATACTGTATTCTATGTTATTATAACATTATTAGAAAATAATGTTAATAATCAGTGATAAAAATGTTATAATAAAATTAAAAATCCCATATATAGCATTTGAACCGAAAAACCAAAGTCCATTTAATTTCGAAAACATGATGAATAACAGTATTCTTGGTACTGCAAAAATTACTTTGAATATAATTCTTGGGATAAAAGTAACTTTTTTTAAAATAACTGCGATAATTGTTGATAGAGTTTGAATAGGAGATGGAGCTGCGCTATATAAAGCTAAAAATTAACGATTTTAAATAGTGTGAAATAATTTTGAGTGAAAAATAAAAACTTACGTGTAGCCGACGAGATACATACCACACCAAAAAGGAAAAATAGAATTGCAAGGATTAACTTTGACTGCATTTTGGTGGATGTTTTGATTTTGTTTTAATTTTATCCCTTTTATAGTTATTCTGAGGCTCTATCTACTTAGAAATTATTTAATGTTTCCTAGATAAAAATTTAAACAAAACTTCTCAGTAATTACCTCTCCCAAATATTTCCTAATACAAGGTGAGTCTCAATCTTTATTACATTTAGTCATTTTGTATTTATAAATATAAAAACAACTCTATTTTGTATTCTAATTTATCCAAGTCTTGAACATGAAAGCATCGATATTTCCATTCTTTCTTATTTTATTTCTAGCGATAACGTTGTGTAATTCAACATGTAAGTAAATTCTAATATCGATCGTATCATCATACGTATGATGTAATATTTAGCTTTGAGTGATTCCTTGGCTTTGATCAGAGATGGATTTGTCAGAGCCAGATCTATTCAACCATTGGTAAATTTGATCAAAGACTTCATAACAACGATTCTAAGGGCATTTGGTTTATTTAGGCAAATAGTTTCTTACGTAAGCGAATTTCAAAGGACCTACAATGTTGAATCAAGAAATTCTACAGTTAATTAACATAATTAACAAAATTATTTATATCATAATATATTGAATAAGTTGATTATTATACAAAATTATTTTTCTTTCTTCCTAATTCCTTAATTCTTCCAGTTCCCTACTTTAAACTTTATTTCTATTTGTTATGCGAGCTTTGGTTAATAAATAGTTTACAAGAATTTGAAGCATTTATTTCCCAGGAATGTTTCCCGATTTCAACGAGAACGAGATTTTCCGCTTTACTTTTAGCTTTAAAAGCATACTTATGACGAGTATATTTATTAGAATCATAAATAAAAGATTTAAGAATGACCCAAAAGGTGGAATCTCGAATAATCCATTTTTAATTTGATTCCGGATTTGTTAAATATAACGCGTTTATGAAATAACTGAAATTTATGTGTTTTATTTTAGATTTATTTCTTTATAAAAATGGCAGGCGGTAAAAGATTTCGAGATTTCCAACATTATTGGCTACTTTGAATAAATGTAGTCTATGATATATTCGTCATTGAAGTGTCGATATATTGCATCGACTAGAAAAGTTCGTCTCCCAAATGCAAATCTTGAAGACTTTGTCTTGAATTTGAAATTGAGCTTCAACTTATCGATGTATCTTGAATAATTTATGAACCTATATTGGCGATATTTATGTATTAAATTCGGCGAGCATATAATGTAGGATTTAAATTTTTATTCGTTACAAATTTATAACGCTTTTTTTTACAAAGTTTCTTATTTTTGTTGTTCTCATTTATTGCAGATTATATAAATAAATAATTAGTAATCATTTTATATCAAAAAATTAAAGATAAAATAACGAATTTAAGTTTGCGAATAATAATTGATTACATGGAAGACTTAAACCAGTTTGGGATTGTTGTCAAGCTTTGGCGAAATTAAAATCAAAGGGCGTAAATTCACGCTTGTTGCGTGACCACGGTCGCTTCATCAATCACCATGGTTCCCGTAGCTTTGAGTTCTCGGTTTGTCCGGATTCCTGAATACAGAATCTGTTTTCAACTAAACGCAGCTTGTATAAACACTCAAGTATTACGTATTTACATATTTACATTAAATAATATATAGGAACAAAAATTAAACGAACTTATTTTATTCTCCAATATGATTAATAACATTTATTGTTATCTTATATACATATATTGTTAGATGTTATCGAATCCATCTTGAACCATTTGGAAAATACTTTTGAAAAAATTAACTTCACTGTTGATTATTTCTCGAACCATTTCAGTAGCAGAACCACCAGTTGCTTGGATGGTTTTAATCGTATAAATCAAAATTTCACTTAATGTGGAATAAATTCTTTGTATTATTTCTTGTATGGTTGATGCTATTTGATTTGTGACATCAAAAGATGTATCTATAACTTCTGAAATACCATTGACGTTATTACTTGACTCAGTACTGAAGATATTTTGAACTAAAAGAATTTTGTTTCGTTAAGTATGGAATATTTAATAAAAAATGAAAAATTTTGATTTGGAAATTAACTTACAATTGTTTGCTGTACATTCCAAGACTGCTACAACTAACAAGAATAATACTATTTTAGTAATTTTCATGGTTTTTAATATGTTTATAAAAAGTAATTTGTCGACCAAAATATAAGTGTCAATGATAGAAAATAGATTCTAATTTCTCATATATAGGAAAATGAGAAAATTGATAAGATCATCCTTGTACATTTTTATGATAATTTAAACAAATGATTCAAAGCTAAAACATTAATTTTTATGGTTTCTTCAAAAATCTATGTTTACAGAATATAGTGGATCAACAAAAACTTTTTAGGAAATTAATAATAAAATTCTTTATCAAACCGTTATTTTTTTATAGTTTTTACACGAAAAATATTTGATAAAAAAGCATTTATTTTTTAAGACTCCTTACAGCATTGTAGGAAAATTTTATTAATTAATTCTACTGATTATTCTAAATTAAAATGTGTCTATGGTGTTTCTGCTCAACAAGCTAAATTAAAATATAAACCTGGGTTCTGTATCTTTTGGTGGCAATGTATGCATTGTGAGATGCATTGTGTATCTATTTCATGCAAATGTTTATCGGTTCTATATTACTCTATATGTTGTGTGATATAAATTGTAGAACTTGAATTCTTGAATTCAATTTTCTAGTCTTGAATGTGTCTGTCTTGATGAATTGTCAGCCGTTATCGGAAAAGAAAACCCGACGATATCCAAGTCGTTTGTGTTCGTCTCAGAAGAATTATACTGCTTGGTTTTTGACCTTAACATTTTCTAGAATCGGATTCTACTTAGCTGATGTTTTGTGGTTCAAGTTCTTTAAATACATGTTCAACGCTGTATTTAAATTCTTGCGTCAACAGGAACGATCATTTAGTTGTGAAGTGTTTTTAACCATAGAAGAGTGCAGCTATCTTAGAATAAATTCTATTCTAGCTAGATATAGTCAAACCACGCCTAGTCAATCTCGTTCGTTGTTGTGATCAGTGCCGGATTAACGATAATTGGATAACTGTTAAGTACGATTACTTGTACCATAAGACACGACTAGAAAAAACATGAATCATTAAGCTCATTAAGGTTCATTAAGAGCCTTATCAAGTGTTTATACTTCTTCCTCATAAGGAGCTGCTAGTAACCTGATTTTTAGTCTAAAACGAGGAATAGCATAGCACTGCTCTAGTGCCTCAAAGACGATAAATACTTGATGATAAACTCCTTGAACATTCGTGGTTTCAATTAGATAGCTGTATGAAGAGAAATAGAAAGGGTGCACCTCTTTACCTGTATTCCATTGAGAAGATATTATTTATGGTTGTTTGATCTATGGCGTATCCTAGCGTCAAAATTTGGTCTCGGTGTGCTCAGGAATACTTTAGTAAGGTTGCTTAAAATTGTGAGATCGGTATTGGGATACACAAGCTTCGTTTGTAATACTTCTCACAGATATTGATCAATTACAGCCAGCAAATGCAATGTTATAGGATGCTCCTGTATCAGAACTACTCCTCGGACTGCTCCGAGGAGCAGTTGTTGGAGAGATGACGACCAAAAGACGATTTTAACCAAATTAAAAAAAATTTCAAACAGAGGACTTGATGCTGTTCAATGGCATTTTGAATGTTGGTGTATGGATTTCAAGTCATAGATGTTTAGACGTTCTTAGCAATAAATTGATGATATTTACAAGATATCTTTTCTGGTTAAACGCATGTTTGGAGGTTTGTATTGTTGTACTTAAATGTCCTTAGTTAAAAAACTTTTCATTTAATATCAGCAGTGTACCAAAAGTACTTTAACGTGGTGTTTACTATGTGTTAAGAATAGCGTTTACATAATAGCTAGTTTGATACCAAACGTAACATAGGAAAACCATGGATAATGGATCAATACTGAAAAAAAGCATTTTTCGAAGCTGTGGTAGTATTCGTAGAGAACAAAAATAAAATAGACCATATCTGCCATTAATTTATTTTATTTATTTAATTTAATCCAATTTTAAGTTTTGTTGATTATTTTTTCTTGTTGTTCGGGAAGGCGGGTGCATATAATTTAGATTAATAGATTACAAAAATGTAAAATTAAAATTTATACCTGAATGAATTATAATTATTACATATTAAATATAAATACAGTTATCCTGTAAATAATTACTTAATTACAATCTAAATATTCCAAAAATCATACCGATAAGGGTACGTACATAGTTAAAAATTCCAAAAACGAAATATCTAATGTATAAAGCAAAATTTTTAACAATTCGTCCTTTTGACATAATAGTGTAAATAATTATTCTGGGAATAAAAATTAAAATACGTAATATAACTCTAGGAATAAACAAAACCGCTCTTACAAAAACACTAAATACTGATGTTGCTGTTCCAAGCATTTTTCTCGAATTTAACTCTTGGTTGCTTCCATTGGACCCAAGATATAATAATTCCCGTCCGTCAGGTAACGCGGCATCAAGAGATTCTACAACAAAAACACAAAAAATTTTTGGACAAATAAATTAAATTTTTAATCTTACGACTTGTGGTGAAAACACAAGATGCGGCAATTAAGAAAATTGTGAATGTAAAAATTAATTTTACGTTCATTTTGAAGAAGTTACAATGTCTGTTTCATTTTTCCAATTTTATTGAAATCTTATATAGCAAATTTTTATCAAAAAAGTAAATACATTTTAAAATGTAGATAACAAAATGCCAATAAAATTTAAATGTTTGGTATTTATTTGAAATTTCTATGGATTTGTTATCTTTTTCTAGAAATAACTATACTCGTAAAAATAAAACTGGGAAAGATAATTAACTCAACAATAAATGTTTAATAGTTTTGTAATAAAACGCGAATTTTATTCTAAAAGTTTTCATTTCGTGCAAACTGGTAACTATTAAAAACTTCAAAATGACGCGTGGTGAGATGTCGAAAAAGTTCGAACGAAAATTTATTATCGCTTTGTGATTTACACCTTCAAGCACTTGGAGAAAAATTTTCATAAAACTTTTTCCTCTAGAAGAACTTTTAAGTTTAAGAGTGCCCTCGTTTGCGGTTCGGTAATCACAGTCGCGAGTACTAGAAAAATCCAAATTGTGCTAAAGAAGGAAACTTTTATGATCCATCAGGAAAAACCTTTTATTACAGTTTTCCTCTTTATTCAACTTAATTATGGTAATTTCCTTATTGCAGTTAATCATTGCAAATAAATTCCGGTATATTTACAATGATCCAATGTATTTTATGGCTCCAAACCCCTACGATATTTTTGGTGCCGACCCTAAACGCGATATTTATTGCTGGCTTAAGAGATTTAAAGGCAATTGAAACGGTTTATTGCTTGTAGATAAAGCAATTTTTATTTATACGGGAAGTAGCAAAAAATGTTCAAAAATATCCAGTCTGCATTGTAATGCAATATCGCTGCATAAAACCGTAATTCATCGTACAAAAGATTAGTTGCTAGCTGAGCAGTAGTTCCGGTTCTTCTTTGAATCACGATAAGCCAATTACGCCTACCCTGTGGCATTTTATACGCCCATACCTTACAGCAGTACACATTATTGAATTAGTATCGTCCATAAGCAGTCAAATTTTCGTTTTTATGATCCAAGGTAAGGACTGTATTAATTGCCATATTGATTTTATTTTAGATTTCGCAATATTTCGTGCATGGACACCGCCGCAAAGTCATTTGCGTAACCTACAGGGAATACTTTATTGGGAACTTCTAAAGCTTCCTTATTCTAGAGCTTTGAGCCGGGGATAGATTTTTGCGTGATACCGCATGCCATCTTTTTGGTTCTTGCACATAGGTCTTGAGGCAACTCATTTGCGAAACAACTGCTGATAATTCATAGTAGATAGTCGGAAATTGAAAATTTTTCAAAATTTTTCAAAATTTTTCAACAGTCTAGAGTAATAATTTATTTGTTGCGCTTTATTAAAACAGGCGGGACTCAGAAATTGACTACTGTATCTTCCATATGTATCAGAACGTGTTTTCTTTTGAACAGATGTTGTATAAGTTTAGAAAGGTGTAGCAGTTATGGCAGACTTGAGTGCCATAAGACTTCTTCATAAACTGGTTTGAAGTGTCACTTCACTCATGCATTGCAAAATATTTTGGAGTCGTAGCTTAGACCAAAACTCCACAAGCACTTTGCCTCTTATCCGTAAGACTGCTTAGGTTTTTGTCTTCTTGGTCGCAGATTTCCATTTTAACTTTTTTACGTCATGCCCAGCTATAATGGACTTAAGTTGTCGCCTAATTAATTATTTGTGTACTAAAACCATCATTGTCTGTGGATACCAAAAGCATATCTTTGTTGCTAAGACCTAAGACAATAGAAGTATCGAAAAGTTCAAATTGGAGGTTGTATATTAGTTCAACCGTGGCTATAATCTCAAGTTCTGTAAAATCACAATTAACTTGATAATAATAATAACCCCCATTTTACCATCACCAAATTCCCTCAAACTTTATTTTTGCGCTTAGTTTATATGAAAATTCAAAGATGATGCGACATCACTATTGATTTTCTTTAAAATTCTATTCCATAAATAATTATGTAATTACGGTTACAAATTTAGTTGAGTGGATAATGTATAACCACCATGGAGGTTTTAATAGTTAACTAAGTGTGTACAAGAAATTGTGCATGTACCCTCATAACGGCATCTTTCCTAAGTTAATGGATTCTATAAATTATAATAAACGAAATAAATATACATTATTAGTAGTAAGTTATTATTTTATCTCCTCACCAATTACTTTTAGAAACGTTATATATGAATCACCAATTCCATTTTAATTTTTTTTTGTTATAATTTGTTTTTTATTTTAATTCTAACACAAACTAAAGCAGGAAATCGTGTTTTCCAATAAATCGGGAACAGTTATTTTAAATTAATGCCGGTCGTATTCGTTTTTCGTTTGGCAATAACCATTGTGTGGAAAATATATGGTTATTTTTATTCGATTGGTGTTGCTTGGGTTGAATATTTCACACAAAAACGTAATAAATTATTGGAATGGCCATTCCCCAGGAGGCTGTTCACCCTTAAAAATTGGGTCATGGGCGACGGGGTGATGACAAGATTTAT